CCTAATGATCAATTTGAACTTTCCAAGGGGCAATTTTGGGCCATGGTCCCTTCTATATCATCTCTCACTGCTGGGAAGAGTTTTATTACATCATCTTTGTAGCTCCATGCAGTTGCAGGCTCCCAGCAGACCCTCCTTAGGCTCCTCTTTGCCAAAATAAACAAGCCCAGCTCCCTCAGCCTGTCCTCTGGACCTGTAACCATCATAGTAGCCCTGCACTGGACCCTCTCCAGTTTCTCAACATCCTTCTTGAACTGGAGGCCCAAAACTTTATTCAAGGTGAGGGCTCACAAGCACTGAGTAGAGGGGGGTAATGACTTTCCTGGATCTGCTGACCACATTCCTCCTAATGTAGCCCAGTGCACTGTTTACATTATTCATGATAAAAGAATTTTATTAGTTTATAAACAACTCAGCAGCCACTGTAGCCTCCAGATCCTTTTCAGCAGGCCTGAAATGTAGCAAGTTCCTTCCCTGTCTGCACTGGTGCATTGGGTTTTTTTCCTCCTCAGGTGCAGAATTTTGCACTTAATTGAAGTTTCTAAAACAGAAACCTTAAAAAAGATTCTTTTGCCTGGGCTTCCAGTGTCTCATGGTGTTTGTGAATTGAAGTTCTACCAGTCAGCATGGCAGCCACACCTTCCGATCTTGCATCACCTGAAAATCTTCTGAAAGTACATTCTGTCTTCTCATATGGGCTGTTGATGAAAATACTGAACAGTATGTTTATAGCAGTCCATTGGTTACTGTGCTCATTTCCAACCACCAACTGGACATCAAGCCATTGACTCTAGTCTTTGAGCTTGGGGTCTGACGAATTTTCAGCCCACCTGCAATCCTTTCATTCAGTCCATACTTTCTCATATTGTAAATGATAATGCTTTTGGAAATAAGTGTCAAAAGCCTAACTAAAGTAAAAATATATTGCATTCACTCCGCTCTCTTCATCTGCATGGCCAGTCATTTCATCATAGTGGGCAACCAGATTGGTCAAGCATGATTTGCTCTTGGTAAATCCTTGTTGACTTTTCTTGATTATTGTCTTGTCCTTTACGTGTTGGAAATTGATTCCAAGAGGACATGCTCCACGATTTTTCCAAGGACTAAGGTGAGGCCAACTATCATATAGTTTCTTAGATCCTCCTTCTCCCTTTTCTTTAATATGGATGTAAAATTAAGCTTTCTCCAGTCATCAAGGATGTCCTGTAATAGCAGTGATTTTTTATGGATGATAGCTAGTGGTGTTGCAATCACATCATCAGCTCTTTCAGCACCCATGGGTGTATCCCATGTGACCCCGTGTATTTGAACACATACTGCTTCTTCAGGTATTCACCAACCTGTTGCCCTGCAACTCTTAGCCATCCCTCTCCTTCCCAAACTGTACACGCAGAGATCTGGGAGCAGACTTTGCCTAAAAAGCGAGAGGCAGAAATGGTATTGAGTGCTGCAGCTTTTTCTGTATCATCTATCATCATCTTGTCTCCCTTAATAGATAATAGATAGATAATAGACCTACATTTTCTTTGAACCTCCTTTTGCTGCTCTCATACTTGTAAAATTCCTTCTTGTTAGCCTTTAATGTCCTCCATTAATTTTAGCTCCAGCTGGGTTTTGTCCTTCCTAGTTTTATTCCTGTGCCCAAACAACGATTGTGTGCTTGTTCTTTGTTTCCTGTCATTGTTTCCATATATGTGCTCTTCTTTTCCACCATTTCCATCTCCATATGTGCTTTTCCCATTTTAGTTCATTAAGAAGCTCCTTACTCAGCCAAGTGGACCTTCTGCATACCTTCTCCATATGTGCTGCTTCCTCATGTATTTCTGGGTTAGATCTCTGTTCTATGACAGACAAAGTCCTCCCCACTAGATTAGCAAGTCTGTTCGCAAAGATGTTCTTCCCTCTCTTTGCCAGGTAGACCTATTCTCTGTGTTGTCTTTACTCATCAAATTGGGTGCCACAAGCAAAACAGTTGAAGCCCAGCTAGTGCCACCAAATATGTAGCCATATGTGGTCTACTGGATACATCTGCTGCCCTCCAGGCTTTTCCCTTTTGCCATAGGATTAAAGAGAAACACCACCAGGATTCCTGTCCCCTTCAGCCTTGCTCAGGAACCCTACAATCACTTTTGAACTGAAATGGTTTCACATCACCACGTCATTGGTGTATGCATGAATAAGCAGAAAAAAGAACGTTAGGCGACCCCAAACAGTCTTTCGGCAAACACCACAAATTGAGGCTCCATGCAAGCAAGAAACCTCCCTAGTTGATGAGTCTGGCTGGAAGAGAGTCACCAGCCACTCACTGTCACTCATCACTTTCTCTTGGTAGCGCTCTGATACGGTGTCCAACCTGGATTCTTCCTCTGAGGGAGCTTGTTCTTCGCCGCTGCTGCCTGGGCCCTGCACCACTGGACAGCCCTCCTGCTGCCAGAAGTCACAAGCTTCCAGTTTCCACCCTCTTAGGAGAGCATGTCTTCTTCCCACTGCGTCTTGCCTCGGTTGTACCTTCCCTGTCTGTTGCATAAGCTTTTACACCTTGAAAGATCCTGTCAATCACCTGTTTGTCACCCCTGATGCAATAAAACACACTTGCCTCTTGCAGCTCCTCACCTGCTGCTGTGGCAACTACAACAGAGCAAACCTCCCTCCAGGGAGGTCACCCTCAGGGGTCCATCTGCACAGAGGTTGCCACAGCACTGCCGGTGACAGCCGGGGCAGGGGTTATGTCTTGTAGGAAGTCATCACCATTTGGGTGTTGTCGTCTTACGCAGATAGCACATCCGGGTCTGTTGTGTGTCAAATGCCAAGTTAACTGTCTTGCTTCTTTGCACATCCCGCTGGCAGCGCTTCTTGACGCCCTTCCTGACGGTGCCAGATAAGTCAGGAACTCCAGGTGCGTTCACTCAGCCTTGTGCAAGATTTCCCACTTGGCAGGAAACCTCTTGCACTGTCTGTGAGTTCCTGGCCACAGTACCCTCCTTTGTGAGTGCTGGGTCCGCTGAATGTTTCTGCTCCCCATGCTGGATCCTAACAAGGTGAAAGAACAGTGGATGTAGTTTACTCAGCACCAGTTTCACTTGCCAAATGAAGAGGTAGTGTTGTACAGTTGAAAAGGTTAGTTTTAGAATCTGCTCAAGTAGATAGAGCTGTCCAAAAGCATTTTAAGATCAATTTACTGCGGTTCTCATCCATGACTAAGAAAAAATAGTCTGGGAAACATGGAAATATTTATTACCAGAAGTTAAATTTTCTTATTCCCTTGTAGGAGATAAACAGGGTTTCAATTACTGGGTAATGATTTTAGAATTTGATTGTCTTATTTTATAGTAAAATACTGAAATATGGTCTCCTTTCCCTATCTTACAGCTGCCCTTGCAGTGCAGTGGCAAATTAAAATTTATGGTAGATTATTTCTTGCAGTCGCTAGCTGTATGTACTAGGAAAAGGTCTTCTGCAGGGACATTGCTTAAATAGAAATATCAATGCAGATACACTTGTATGGGCTGTGACAGAAGTTCAGACTCTGAATGAGGTTACTCTTTCAGCAACTATAAATTGGCAATATATAATCAATCCCTTTGAGGCTTAAGTGGTCAAAGTATGAGGTTGAGTAAAATAAGGTGAGAGTGTGTTAGTGTAAGGAAATATCAAAGAAAAAATGTTTTATGTCTGTAGATTGTAACTGTGAGGAAAAAGTGTGTAGTGTAAAAAGTGATATTGCTAGATCTTGCAAAATGCTACTGTTAAGTTTCTTTTTATTTATCAATTGCTTTTGGATATATGCTATATTAGTGCAAAGTTTCCTGTGCTTGGCTCTGACACAGTTTCTGATGGAGATTAAGATCACTTGTACCTTTAAATCAATCTCTTTATTCTTGCTGATCAGTTTTGGATTTTTTTCATTTGAAATGTAATTCACACTCTAATGTTCAGCAATCTCCATCAAACAAAAGTGTGATAAAACTGCAAAACTCCTAAGAAAAACAGGAGGCTAGAAAGTTACTTTGCCTTTATCTTAATATCTTGAATTCAATTGCATACTTAAACAAACAAAAAACTGCTTAATACTGTTTTGGACTAAGCTTTGAAGGAATTTTTCCAAGGAGTGGTGAACTTTCTCTGCAGTATGGTCTTTAAAGTCAAGACTGGATGCATTTGTAAACTTGCCAAGAAAGGAGTTCAAAGAGAAATTCTTAGCTGAGATAGCTCCCATTGCTTAGACAGGGCATGTGGCTAGATAATAATGCTTCTCCTAGGCCTTAAAATCAAGAATCTTTTTTTTAAATTAAATTTTTAAATTACACTTGATGCATATTTATTAAACATAACTTGATAATTTAAAGTAACTGCTTTATAGTATGTGAGTTGAAAATAGTTTTCACCTAAATATTACATAAGACTGTGTGGAAGTGCAGTTGGCTGAGCATAGAAGCGCAGGTTTTTTTATACAGATAGAGCACAATGTGTTACACAAATAAATATGCAAAAATATGTGGCAGTAATACATCCTTGAGGTATGGCATGAGGTCTCATGAAATATATGCCTTGAAATAAAAGAAGAGGAATTTTTCTGAGGTTTCAAAGGAATTGCTGTGGAAATTACTGTGCCAGAAATGAGTTTTTTCAGCCATTGCTGTGGTACTGTGTTTGCACAAGCAAAACCAGGTAGCTAATCTGTAAAAGAAATATGAATTGTTAACCTTTCTTGGATCAATGTAGACAGATTTTTATGTGACTCTTTAGAAGGAAAAAAAGTAGTATTAATAAACACTGAAATATTAAAACCAAACCCTATTTCTATGAAATGACAAAAGAATTTAAAATTCTTTTAATAAATAGAGTTGGAAGGTGATTCTCTTTATTTCCAAAATTTTCTCAAGAACAAAGGAATAGGAAAAAATAGAAGATGTCTAAGCATGTCAAGGGTTAGCTTACCACTTTTACTGTGTATTATAAAAAGTTGGTTTTATTTAATGCTAATAATCTCTTAATTGTAGGAGGAGGAATTGGAGGCCCAGATTTCATTCCTACAAGGACAACTAAATGACTTGGAAGCCATGTGCAAATATTGTGCGAAGATGATGAACACACATCTTGGTAAGTGCAGTACCCTGTATTAACCTGTAAATCTTTGCGAAGGCTCTTTTCATGTTTGTATTAGAACTAAAATAATATTTATGTAGTACAGTGCATATTATTTTATAAGCCATGAAGAAGATTGAATTGATGTACCCAGTTGTTCTATCAGATGCTGCCAACCACTGTATCTTTATACTGTCATACTTTTAAACTTGGGAATATGATAGCCACTGATAATGCTAAAAAAAAAGTAGAGGCATTTCAGCACAGGTGCCCTTCATCTGATCCTAAGACTTCTTGTATTGTAAGAGACATGCTGGAGCTCACAGCACGTGAGCTTACACCAGAGAGTTGTGGTGAATGGAGTTAAATCCAGTTGGCGGCCGGTCACGAGCGGTGTTCCCCAGGGCTCAGTTTTGGGGCCGGTCTTGTTCAATATCTTTATCGATGATCTGGATGAGGGGATTGAGTGCACCCTCAGTAAGTTTGCAGACGACACCAAGTTGGGCGGGAGTGTTGATCTGCG